GAACCTCACTCACCCCAGAGGATCCCAGTTGAGAGAAAGAGAAGGACAACGTGTTCCAGACACCCAGGAAAGAGCTCAGATCATCAGTCTGACAGGAATAATGAGATGAGGTGACTGGCAGGGTGCCAAGTGCCAGAACAAAGCAGGCGTTGACCTGTCTTTGCATTTCAAAGGCAACTGACTGCTATTCTGACCCTCTTACTGAGAGGATTGTCTCATCCCCAAACAAGGAAAGTCAGTTGTACTTCAAGCAGCTTAACTCAAGATTAAGTGAGTTTTCCTCCAACCTCTATACTTAGTAAGCTTACCTTTCTGTGACTCAGAAAGTCTCTCATGGCTGAATCTCTTGCAAGACAAATGTGAGGTATACATGACCTCCAGGCAGTACAAGTGTGGTCTTGCTGGCTGCAGTTATGTTAGGAATGACAGCAACGCTAGGAACCATAGCAACAGTATCTGTTGATGGCTATAGTGTACCTACTGTGTGCCAGCAATGGAAAAAGGCAATATTTTCTTTATTCCCCTCTAAAAGAAATGAGTCTTTAAAAGACTTGGTAACTCATCCAGAGCCACGGAGCTACTGACTGATAACCTGGGAATTTAAAGCAGCTGACAGTCCACACTCAACAAGGAGACTGCTTCTGACTGGACAGTTTTCGAGGTTTGCTCACTTATATTTTGCCCGTCACTTCCTGAACTGAAGTAGCTTTTCAAACTAGCCTTTAGAATTCTAGTCTTTAGGATGAGGAACACCACACTCCCCAGAGGCTGACAAACTGCACATATGCATAAGCTGCCGGCCTACATGCCAGAAGAACAAAAACACATGAACAATAAAAGCCATGAAAACCAAGGGGGAAAGGACTGAGAGGCAGGAACAGTGGAAGAATGAAAAGGACTGGGCCAAATCAGATGTGTGTGAAGGCTCGGTCTCTCTGATAATGTGGGCTGGGGGTGATAGCTTAGTGGTAAAAATGCCCACTGCATAAGCGTGACAATGAGTCTGATCCTAGAACCCAGGTTCAAAAGGCAAATATGTTGGGGCCTGTGGCTTGTAAACCCAACTATGAGAAGGCAGAGACACGCAGATTCTTGAGGCTCACTGGCCAATGAGAATCCTGTCTTTAAAAAAAAAAAGTTAAAACTACAAACCAAAGTGGACAGTACCTGAGGAACTCTCTGGTCTACAACATGTACACACACTCACACACAGATACACACAAAGACACGTACACACAGATACCTGTACGTGTACAACATGTACACACATACATACTCTCTCACACATGGGCACACATGCACGCACATAGACACACACACACATGAAATAACTGAAAACACCAGTTTGTTGGCAATGTATTACTGACTTTCCTAAGTTACTGCATTTGTTTTCTAAGGTCAGACACATGTATAGTTTAAAACTCAAAGTGTTAAAAAAAGGTGACATGCCTCATCTAACTCCTGTGTGACTGAACTCCCAGGATCCACGCACTCAGAGCTATCCTAACCCCTGTCCCCTGTGTGACTGAACTCCGAGTCCCATGCCCTCAGTCAGAGCCATCCTCTCAGGTTTTCTCCACTTCTTTCACAAAGGCAGTCCTACCCCTCTCTGTCTCATTCACTTAACCAGTGGTGAGTTTTCCATTCTCCTTCAGGGCGGGTGGGTATTCCATAATATAAATACTTTGTGTCTACTACATGTGAGACACTAGGGTTGCACCTCCCTTTTTGCTTTCACAAACAAATGCTCCAACAAATTATCTGGGCACGGTGGCACATGCCTATAATCTCAGTAGCTGGGAAGCAGGGGCAGTGTGACTGTCATGAGTTCAAGTGTAGGTTACACCCCCCTTTAAAAAAAAAAGCTCCAACAAATAAACTTAAGCTTCTAATGTTCTACACATACATGGGAATAGCTGGAAGGCATTCCATTCCTTGCAGAGCCATAATAGTGTGCTAATAAATGATTAACAGCGTCCTCCCAGAAAGACATGCTGCAAACTCCGGAGATGCACTTGCTTCCACCATGGCTAACCAGAAGCAGTTAACATGGTGTCACTGTCTATGGAGGGGGGACACATGGGAGTGCCTTCCATAAGCTATCTCAAGCCTCACTTGGTTACAGAGACAAGGGCAAACTGCACCTCTACTTGTGAGGGATAGGACCAGATTCATCTCCACTACAGACGGAACTCTTTGGACTGCTAGCAACAACGTGTTGACCTTTGCTTTGTGGTGGATGTGTCTCAATATGCGTTGATCTGAATTTCTGTACTTGTGACATACAGAGTTTCTTCCTTTGCACAAAACTGTACTTCCACCGTGTGCTCGTTCGGCTGTTTTTGTCCACTGTCCATTTTATTGGCTGCCCTAAGCATTTCATATACTTAATAATTATAACCACACTATGTGCAGGGTAGGTCCAGGTCTCATGGGACAAGAAGCACAAACTGAACACTGTAGATAACCAATGTAAAATTATAAAGTGCACAGTTTCTGTACAAATATATTTCTTTACGATTAAAGAAAACATGCATCAGGACAAGCAAGATGGTTTGGTGACTAAAGGTCTGTCCCCTGCAAACCTGACAACACAAATGTGATCTCCAGAAATGACATGAAGGTAAAAAGGGAGAACCACCTCCACAGAACTGGGCCTGACTTTCACTCATGTACAGTGCCATGAAGATACTCACAAACAGAATTTATAACTAAATCCTTGAGGTCGTAAAGATCTTACCCACATTTTCTAGAATCCTTTGGGACCGTATAACAGAAGTGTTTACATGGGGTTGGGGGGGAGGCTGAGGCTGCAAAATGGCCCTTTGTCCACCTAGAACACTTTGCAGTTCCCAGCATCCACTGGACTCCCAGACACCTGAGTCTCTTTCATTATAATGTCATTGCATCTGAATGGGCATTTTGCGCGCATGAGTGTCTACGTGTACGTGGTGCCTGTGGAGGTCAGAAGAAGGCACTAGACCCCTTAGCTATCACCACAGAGGTGCTGGAAATCAAGCACGAGTCCTCTAGAAGAGGATCCAGTGCTCTCAGGCACCGACCCATCTCTCCAGGCCCAATCATCTGAGTCTTAAAGTGCAGTAGCTACCAAGGAAACCAGTACACGCTGGAACAACAAGCACTGTCATCCCATTTCACAGATGGGGAAAGTGGGGCTAAAGGACACACCGCCATGACTTACGTAACACAGAGAGTGGATGTAAATCAGTATTTTAAAGCCTGTGAGCTTAACTGATGCACAAAGTTGCTTCCAGATGTCTTAAAAAAACTACTATACTTGGCCATATCTACCTTCTCTGTGAGAATCACTTCCATTATATGTTCTCTAAGGGAAAATATGTTTGATACGAAAAACAAAAATTTCATTTGCATCTCTAAAAAAATGTCTTCTCTTGGCAGGGCATGGTGGCACATGCCTTTAATCCCAACATGTGGGAGGCAGAGGCCTGGTGATCTCTGTGAGTTTGACACCAGACTGATCTACAAAGCAAGTCCAGGACAGCCAGGACTATTATACTGAGAAACCCTGTCTTGAAAAATCAAAGAAAGAAAGGTCTTCTCTCCTTTAAAAAAGAAATCAAAATTTGTTCTTTACATAGAAAATTGCAGAGCCCAAAATCAGTATCCAGCTTGCTCCTCTGTCCAGTCTCACCTGAGGGTCCACAGAGAGCAAGAGGGGCAAACAGAATCAGAATGGGCCACAGTTCAACGCTGAGGCTGAGGATGGAACCTGGTAGCACCTTGCTCAGCACTCACCAGGCCTTGCATTTGACCCCAGCACCCCAACATTTTAAAGTGTAGCCTCTCTGGTAGAGTTTGTTTTCTGCTGAATTCTTCTATTCTTTTCTTTTAATTCTTTTTAAAACGTTTACTTAGTTTATGTGGATGAGCGTTCTGCCAGCATGTCTGTCTATGAACCACATGTGTGCATGGAGCCCACAGAGGTTCCGCAGAACTCCAGTTGTAGACTGTTTTGAGGCACTATGTGGATGCTGGAAAGGAAACCTGCATCCTACGCAAGAACAGCCAGAGCTCTTAACCTCTGAGCCCTCTTTACAGACCGTGGACTCTCTGCTTTCTAATAACTCTAGATCTTCAGGTTATGTTGAAACAGACTCTTGTCTAGAATTAAGTGCTATGGTTGATTTTAGTCAACTAATTAGGAATAGTTAAAGATCTAGGCTAGCATACAGGATTCTTCCTACAACTCAAAATTAAGCCAACTAAGGAGATTCACCAGCATGAGACAAACCTCAACACTCTTACTAACAGAAGCTGCATCGATGATTCTCATCAAGGACACTGCTAGCAATGGCAGCTAATATCTAATTGCTGGGAGACAGAGGCTGTACACAGAGAAATGGCAGCAACCATCCACTACAGGGAAAGACTGTCCCATCATAACCACCACCACAAAGAGATAGCCGTGGCCAAAAGTGTGACTGGGGCAGATCAGCAAGGAACTGGGGCAAAAACGAGAGAAGATATGGATGGGCCTACCTTCTATCCCAAGGCTTTCAGGATATTTTTTATAACTTAAAACAACATGACAGGAGCCAAGCATGGGACATGCTCACCTGACGTGGCCACTCAATAGCACACAGTAATATAAGGCTAGAAACTTATATGTAATGTTTTAAAATTTCAAACTCAATCAAAAACAATTTTCTAAATGACTTTTCTTGCAGATATATTAAGGAAAAGCTATTCAGGTAGATATAAGAAAACTACAAATCAGATCATTATCAAAAGGTTCTGTGCTGAAACAGCATTAGTTATCTGGAGAAAGAGCCAAGATTCAGGCAGGCTTCGGTCCATCCCAGGCATTCTGTAAGGGTATGTCCACTAGAGAAGGACAGCCCAGATACACTCGTAGAAGACACTGCACACATTTATCTATTTCATGAAAGCTATCCTCCATTCCTCACAGCACGCGAGTCCTGTCAATAAGGGAAGATGTTCGTCTTCAACAGCTTTACCTGCAATTTGTACTGATCCATCCTCACCCAGAAGAATATTGCCAGCTTTCAAATCCCTGTTAGAGGAAAAAACAAGACAGAGAATAAATTATAAAGCACAGGTTAGATATGACACTGACAGACTCAGGAAGATTTTTAACACATAGCACACAAGCCAACTGCCTGGCACAGTCACGTACTGTGAATATTATAGTCACGCTGCAGATGTTTTAAAGTTGTAAGTGCACACTGTCATTTTATACTTTGCTCCCAAAGCACAGCTAAGATTTTAATAACAAATATTTTATGTGAAGCCATTATCTGCATTTAATTAAATCACTATTGAGTAGACTATTTTACATTTCGGAATTAGTGATTATCCATAAAGCCACATGACTGCCGTATTTATGAAGAATTAAATCCCTGTCTAAGTAGAACTATTTTGCTTCCACTTTTGAGTTGCCTGTGGCAGATTTCCAAATAGTCCCACAGCCCACTTAAAATGAATTTAATTCATTATCAATTTCTCCTATGGGTGATAGCAAGGCTAAATGTTAATAACAATATTCTATGTGCTATTTCTTCACTATATGGAAGCTCTGTGGAGCAATTTTAATATTTAAATAAGATACAAGTATTAAAAACCTATGGCACAGACCATTAAATCCACAGCTCTCTCATGCTTCAGGGTGGACCGACGTTACGAGCATTAGGGTAAGTGCTGTCTACTTATAGCAGTCTGAAGAGCTGCCGTGGTTGTGCGGCACTGTTGCTTTTGAAATATCACCTGCTCATATTCTTTTGGATCCTCTAATTCAAAACTTAACACTCTGTGTTACAGAAGAACAAATCAGGGCTGCTTCCTTCCTTCTCACCCCAGGTTCAAAACTGGTAACATAAAATGTAACCGTCTTACCTTCCTGAGGCACAGGGATATGCCATCCAGTTCAAGCAAGTTCACTTCAAGAGAAATCGTGTTAACTAATTTCTTAATGAGCCCACATAGCTCTTACCACATTTTGCTCTATTTTGGATTAGCCACATAAACCAGCCCCAAGGATACCAAGGAAATGTATCCAAGTTTATTCTTTGATGGTTTGTTTTGCTTTTAAGTATTGATTTGAAATTCTTTACGGACTAGGAAAGAGTGGACTGTGAAGATACCATACCTATGGATCTGACCATTTCTGTGCAGATAGTCTAAACCTTCCAAAACCTCCTTAAGAATTGTTGCGATTATTGCCTCTTCCAGGACACCATTCTTATGTTCTCCTCGATTGACGATGTATTTGATGATATCCAACATGGAACCTGAGTGGACAGACAGAAGAATTGCAAGCGTGATTTTCATAAGCATATCCATTCTGTTTTAGATTAAGGACCCTCTACTATTACACCCTTAGATATGACTATCAAAAATGGAATCTACTTACTTAATTTCAATGATCCCAAGGAATAATAACAATTGAATGTCATGCCTAAGTCCAGAAACATTACATATATTAATAAGCTGGTAACAATACTCTCAGTGTGAAGTTGAGAAGGGCTCTCGGTAAGAGTCGGGAACTAGAGCTCTGTTGAGATAGCTTGCTAGTGAAGACTGATGCCTGCTTTTCCAGACCCTGGTTCAAATCCCACACCTAATCGTCACTGAGTAGCTCACAACCAACTGCCTCTAACTCCAACTTCAAGGAATCCAGTGTCTTTTTCTTCCCTCTGCAGGCTCGTGTGTGCACACGCGCACACACACACACACACACAGGCAAGACTGTGACGATTAATCTTCATTATCAAACTCACTGTCCTGAGAAATCCCTAAAAGTGAGCCAAAAGTATACTTGTACATCTGTGAGGATGTTTATAGAGATAACTGGCAAGTGGCATAGTAGCATACTGGAAAAGACCACTCTCCCCTGAAGACAAGCAGCAGCATTGAATAAGCTGGGGCCCCAGATAGAATAAATGTGGAAAAAGGAAGTTCCCCTTGCTGGACGAGGGTATCTACCGTTGCCATCCCCACAGACACCAGCTGTTCAGTGCAAACTGGCACCAATGACACTCCAGTGAGCCTCCAGGGTTCCAGCCTCAGATAAAGACTGTATCACTGGCCCCCTGCACCTAAGGTTCCCAGCTTCCAGCTTCGTGGATTGCAGAGTTGTCAGCTTCTCTGCCTGTCCACTGTACAAACAGCCATTGGTAGACTATTCAACCTCCAATCACTTAAACCAATTTTACTTTCCTAATTACTTGTGTGTGACTAAAACATACACCCCCCTCCCTCAGTGGTTCTCTTCCTCTAGAAAATATTGACTACTAGAAATGCCTATAATGAGCTGGTCCCCAGCATACTTTTAAAAAATCCAAGATGCAGTGAGATGTCTCAGCAGGTAAGGGCACCTGCTATCAAGCATGATAACCTGATTTTGTTCCTCGGGACTCACTGGATAGAAAGAAATAAGAGTTACTGCAAGGTCTCCTGACCTGCACATGCTGCCTGTGACACGGGTATCATGCCTCTCACCCACACACAGTAATGATAGAAATAATAATTAATAAAGCTTCAAAGCTGGCTGTGATCCCAGGAGCACAGGGGCGCTGCAATGGAAGGGTGTCTGGAGTCCAGGAGTTCAGAAACAGCTTGGAAAATACAGCTTTAGAAATAGCAATAATATGAGTATATCTACTAATAGGATATTAAGAAAAAAAACTTTTTAACTCCACATCACTGCCTGTGACCCCAGGATTCTTTTGTGAGACTCTAAGGTCATTATATGCTTTTCATTCTATGTTTTATGCACAGGCGTCTCTAATGAATACATACCTGGTGCATTGTTTCTATATACAGATTGGTATCCTAGGCACTATGAATTCATGTTCAACACATAGTAATAAATATTCTATACCTCTGGGTCACTTTTAAAGCTCTAATTACCTGGAGATTCAGCATTTCTGAAGAGTTAGCAAATGACTTACCTCAGGACTGAGTCTGCTGTAGGCTCTTTATGATTAACTAAGAGGACCAAGTCTCCCCATCAGGTATTATTGTACCAAACTAGCTGCCTGCCCCTCCTCAGGAGATCCCATGTGGTCACACATCATAGCAGAAAACAAATCTGACTTTCCCTCCTCAAAGAGGAGAAAGTTTGTTTATGTATCAGCTATCAGATTGTTGAGTCAGTTTAGAAAAATAATGACTCTGAACAGTAATTGCTTTATTCTTCAAGGTACATGATCTAACTGGTAGCTGCGTATCTCTAGTCATCGGAAAGAAGTGAACACGAGTTCTTATCTGTGGACACTCCCCCTTGCTGTGGTGGCCTCCTGTAAACTTTGTATCTTACCTTTTAAAGCCCTGTCTGGAGACTTGTCTGGACTCTCCGACAGACAGAGCATTTTCTAGCTGATCCTCAAAAGAGAAACCAGGGGTGTGCTCAAGTTTATGAAAGTGAAGCGCTAGCTGAGGTGAGCTCTTCAACCAGGACAGAGTTGGAGACTTTTAGGGGTCCAGGTCACCAGAACTTGCCATTTTTCTCAGCGACAGTGGAATTCCAGAAGACTCTGCCTCAGTTGGTTAAGATCGCCTTGTTGCCAAAGCACCAGAGTTACCTCAAGGAAGTGAGTGACCCGGGGCCCAGGCCACTTTCTTTTTCCTTTTTAATTATAAACTAAAGTAGATACACATGAAAAGAGGATGGGGGAGGGGACCAAGAGAGTGGAGACATATTTTCTAGAATTCCATGGAGGCCCACACATGTAAACTCATACTAGCTAGAGGCTCCATCTCATGCCTGGGGCTATGCTTGATACAAGAGTGTTTCTCCTATTAGAAAATAATAAACTGAGACCTGGAGAGATGGTTCAGGAGTTAAGAGCACTGTCTGTCATCCCAGAGGTCCTGAGTTCAATTCCCAGAGTCCACATGGTAGCTTATAACCATCTATAATGGGATCTGATACCCTCTTCTGATAGGCAGGTATACATGCAAATAGAGCACTCATATACATAAAATACATAAATAATTTTTATAAAAACATAATTAACTAAAATATATACCTAATTTAGTCCTAGCCTGTAATGGGTCTGAAGATCCAATTATACTAGTTTTGGCTCTACTGAGTCACCACAAAATTGTTTCCTGGTCCAAAATTAGCCTTTATGCCCAGAGCTTTATACAGGGAGCACCACCAGAGAGAGATGGAACTGAGAAAACCATGCAGGTATTCTAAGGTTCCATGTCCAGGACTGACATGGAGAGAGTTTTTAAGTGAGTATGTTCCTCTAGCACCAACTGTTAAGTGTGTATGAGAGTTAGAGACCTGGGTCGACACACTACCAAACTTTCAAGCTTCTGTGCAGTTTTTGTGCGATGGGGATGTTAGTAACAGTGAAGGTGCTGAGCTGGAATAAGACAAGTACTTGAACTGTCTTGAGCAGAATCTAGAGACAGAGTAAGTGTCCAAGAATACCAGTGGTTATCATTTATATTCCTTCTCTGGTGCTGACGTTGAGGTGTTGGTTTGTTTTCAAGTAAAAGGCATGGATGTGAGAGAGCCTTGGGAAGTAAACTGTCACTAACTTGAGAGACCTGAGGCTGGAGGTCTCTTCCCAAGGGAAGCCGACACTGCAAACCAGTACGGTGGCAAGCATTCCTCTCCACATAAACTCTAAGAAAACCTAGTGAGTAGTCACGGGACGCCAGATCCAATGCATCAGGTTCATTGGGTGGTTCTTTCTTCAAGGAGTCCACAGTTTCTGCACTGATCAGGATAATAGCCTCCAGCCGCCACAGACAACATTAAAAATGTGTGACAGAACATAGAATAGGAACTTATTCCACAGATTCCACTATGCTAGCCACCATTCAAGGGCCCAAGTCTTTATCACAGACTGCAACATGCTAAGAACTTGAATTGTCTTGAAAGGACTTTGAAGAGGAAGAACTGGGCTGAGATGAAGTTTGGGGCTAGAGCACTTTCGTGACATGTGTAAGGCCCTAGATTTGATCTTCAACAACACATCCCCGCGCGCGCGCACACACACACACACACACACACACACACACACACACACACAAATTCGCATGTGTGCACAAAGATTAACCAATGATTCTAAAAAGAATAGATGGTGGCTCCAGAAAGGATATGATTGCATGGGAAAGGAGAGAGATCTAAGGCAGAAGAGGGGCATGGACAGGGAAGGGATGGAGTTCTCTGAGAACACATGGTAGTCAGGGAGATTAGCATTACCTAACCTAGAAGGGGAGGGGACAGCATACTTGACACATGGAGAAGGGGACACAGACTCTAGAACACTGAGCCCAATTATGAAAGGCTTTCAATGTAAATATTAAACACTCTGGTCTTTGAATGGACACTAGCACTAGGACAAAATGACAGCCTACAGAATGGGAAAAGATCCTCACCAACCCTACCTGGTACAGAGGGCTAATATCCAAATCAAGAAGGTAGACACCAATAAACCAAATAATTCAATTTAAAAATGGGGTACAGACCTAACCAGAGAATTCTCAACAGAGGAATCTCAAATGGCCAAGAAGCACTTAAAGAAATGTTCAGTGTTCTTAGAAAAATGCAAATCAAGACAACCCTGAGATTCTACCTTAAACCCATGAGAATGGCTAAGATCAAAGACTAAAGGGACAGCACATGCTGACGAGATTGTGGAGCAAGAGGGACAGTGCCTCATTGCTGATGGAAGAACAGACTTGTATAACCAAAGAAATCAATTTGGCAGTTTCTCTGAAAATCCTGGGCATAGTTCTACCTCAAGACCCAGCTATCCCACTCCTGGCCATATACCCAAAAGATGTTCCACAATACCACAGGGACACTTGCTCAGTTATATTCACAGCAGCTTTATTCTTAATATAGCCAGAAACTGGAAACAACCTAATGTCCCTCAACTGAAGAATGGATAAAGAAAATGTGGTTCATTTACACAATGGAATATTACTCAGCTATTAAAAACATCATGATATTTGCAGTCAAATGGGTAGAACTAGAAAATATCATTCTGAGTGAGATAACACAGTTCCAAAAGGACATGCATGGTACATGTCACTTATAACTGGATATTAGCCATAAAATACAGGATACCCATACTACAATCCACAGACCCCAAAAAGCTAATTAACAAGGAGAGCCCAAAGAATGATGTTTGAATCTTACTCAGAAGGGAAAATAGTCATCGGAGGTAGCCAGAGGGAGGGAACAGGGTAGGAGAGGAGATGGGGAGGTAGGGAGGTGAACTGGGGTGTGCAGTAGGAGGATTAGGTGTAGGGGGAGCTGGCAACAAAGGCCCTGGAGAGTGGACAGAAATCAGCACATGGGCTTAGGGGTAAGGGCATCTCTAGACATAGAGAGATCCGGAATAGGGGAGGCTCCAGGAAGTCTATGGGGGTGACTCTAGCTGAGTCTCCTAGCAGTGGGAGACATAGAACCTGAAGCAGCCATCTCCTGTAGCCAGGCAGGACTCTCAGTGGAAGGATAAGGACTCTAGTCCACCCACAAATCCTTCCACCCAAAATTTGTCCTGCCTACAAGATGTACAGGGACAGAGAAGGAGCAGAGACAGAGGGAATGGCCAACCAATGACTGGCCCAAACTGAGACCACCCCATGTGCAAGCAGTAATCCCTAACACTGCTAATGATACTCTGTTATACTTTCAGATAAGCGCCTAGCAAAACTGTCCTCTAAGTGCCCCCCCCCCAACGGCTGACTGAAACTTATGCAGAGACCCATAGCCAAACATTAGATGGAGCTCGGAAGTCTTCTGGAAGAGTTGAGGGAAGGACTGGGGGACCCTGAGGGAATAGAGATTTTACAAGAATATCAATAAAGTCAACTTACCTGGACCCTTGGGGGCTTCTAGAGACTGAATCACCAACTAAGAAACATGCATGGGCTGGACCATATGTAACGGAAGTGTAGCTTGGTCTTCATGCGGATTCCCCAACAACTGTAGCGGAGGGCATCTCTGACTCTGTTGCCTGCCTATGGATCCTGTTCCCCTAACTCGGTTACCCAATCTGACCTTGGTGGGAGAGGATATGCCTAGTCTTGAAAGAGACTTGATGTGCCAGGGTGAGTTGGTACCCAGGGAGGACCTGCTAGTTCTCAGTGGAGAAGGTTTGAGGGCAAAGGGGGGGGATGTTTGAAGGAGGGAGTGGAGGTAGGGGGGCTGTGATTGGGATGCAAAGTGAATAAAGAAATTAATGAAAAAATAAAGTCAGGCCTTTCAAACCAAAGACTGATGGGCATCAAGTCTAAAATCTTACTCAGTTTGATGTCTCCCACCAAACAACAAAACTCACTTACCTCCACTTAGTAATTTCATGACCAGCCAAAGTTCATCTTTGACCACAAAGGAGGTGTAGTAAGTCACTACGTTGGGATGGCTGCACTGACTCATGGCTTGAATTTCTTTCTGTAAGGAAAAAAAGAAGATAGAACAACATGATACAGTACTGTAACCAGCCTCCCCTCTGTGCCTCCCTTTGGTTATCAGACTATTGAAACAATGGCACCCAATAATTCCAGTTCTCCCAAGAATCGCCTCCTCGAAGAAGGAAGAGAAAGGCTGTGGAAACCTATTCAAGGAAGAATTTGTCCTCAGGAGAATGATTTGAAACTTTTCAGAAGACCTCACAGGGGACAGTGGAACTGAGACAACTGGTAAGCCGAGGACAACATTTTGGTCAGACTGCCTAGTTATGCATTTGTCTTGCCTTGCCAGAAACAGGACAGAAGAACTTCAGCCCAGTGTTGTAACCCAGATGACCCTCATATCACCAGCCAAAGGCTCTGCAACACAGAACTGTGTGCTGCTTTTTGAACTGAAGGCATCATCATCATCATCACCACCACCATCATCAGAGAGAGGAGAGAAAGGAGAGAGAGGAGAGAGAGGAGAGAGAGGAAAGAGGGAGAAAGAGAGAGAGGGAGAAAGAGAGAGAGGGAGAAAGAGAGAGAGGGAGAAAGAGAGAGAGGGAGAAAGAGAGAGAGAGAGAGAGAGAGAGAGAGAGAGAGAGAGAGAGAGAGA